CTCCTTGACTTTATAATTGATTACCCATTTGCAATATCAATTCTTCCATTGATAGCTTTTTCTCCTTACTCAACAAATTATTAAATCCTGTGGGGTAATAAGGTTTATAAGCTTGATTCCCTTAATTGTTGGAGTTTCCCAATGGGTTCGCAGTAGTGTTTCCTCATTGCGGATTTACAGCAATAGAGTTATTGTTACTCCAACTAAAATTTGGATGATTCTTCCATCCAGGATTATAATAATTAGCATAAGAGTTATTAGAACGATTATTTCTTGCATTTAAAGTCTCATAAAAAGATTGAGATTCTATCATTTTTCCCGATGAGTTTTCCTCAAGCACAGGTGTTGTCTGAAAATAATTCCTTCCATATTGATCTATCTTCTTTGATATAGCAGCTATTTGGGCAGCTAACAAAGATATTGCATCAAAAACATGAATACTAGCTACTCTTTTTGGATTTACCCTTTCAAAGGCCCATTTAAAATTTTTAGTAGTCATCTCTTCAATTAATGAATATGCTTCATCGAATGGTTTTGACATTAATGATCCATCAGCAGCAGCGTCAATTATTGATCTAAGAGATTCAACCAACCCATTATAAAAAGTTTGAATTATTAACCAATCTGGCAATGCATGGTGTGGACCATGGCAATGCATGGTGTGGACACTTTATAAGGAGATCTTTAAATCTTTCCCTGGCTTCATAAATTGATTCCCCTTCAAACTGACAAAAAACTGTGATATCATTTCTAAGCTCACTAGTTTTTGAAGATGAGAAATATTTGGATAAGAATTTTTGTGATAAATCTCTCCATGTTCTGATAGATCTTGGTGCTAACGAGTTTAACCACATCTTAGCTTTATCCCTTAGTGAAAAAGGAAAAAGTCTAAGTCTGACGACATCATTGGATACTACATCATATTTAAATGTAGCATAGAATTCTAGAAAACTAGCAAAATATAAATTAGGATCTTTAGTTGGTGTTCCTCCAACCTTATTGTTTTGAACCATGTTTTGAACCAGTTGGATAATAACAGGTTTAACCTCAAATGAATTGGCAGCTACGACAAGATTTTGTATACTTAAATAAATTTCATCTACTATGGGATTAGCATAATCTCTTAAAGGTCTCTAATGATGTTCATTTTCATTTCCAATATTGTTTAAATTGCAATCCATTTTGCTAAAATGATCTTTCACTTTTTGTTATTTTCGAATTTTTCTAACAGTTCTCTATAACTCAGAATCATAAGGTACTAAATTTTCTGATCTTACACTACGCATAAATACGCAAAAACAAAATAAAACAAATAATAAAAGACAAGTAAACACACTTAAATAAGAAAACGTTCAAACAAAACTACAAACACTCTTTTTTTATTTTTGATTTATTATTATTATTATTATTTGAAATAAAATAAAAATAAAATACTAATATTTTTCGTTACTTCCCCGACAACGGTGCCAAAAACTTAATACGGGTGGATTTAGTGTGAGAATTTTGCAACTATTTTTCAATATTACAAAATTACACACGGCATATATATAATAAATATGCAATATAATCCCAACAAAAATATTTTTTATGAAAATAATTTATCTTTTAAAACTCTTTTTAAACTGCTAAATTCTCTTTAAAATCAATGCAAGTATACATATCGTTCAAGTAATAAAGTGCTCTAATGGAGTCATAGATATCGATCCCACGGGGAAGTTGAAAAATCCTAAAAGTAAATTATGAAAATTTTTTTATAATCTAAAAATACAAAAATAAAAGCAAAGTAAAGTACGAAGTTTGAAAATTAATTACTCAAGTGAATGCTAATTAAAATGCAGATGTAAGACTACAAAAGTTAAACTAAACTAAATACTAAACTTTTAAAAGTAAAATTATGAAAATTAAACAAATTTTTTTTTGTGACAAAAAGTTCAAATTTAAGAAAACATCCTTCCCCTTTACAATGAGTATATGGATTGTGAAGCAATTGAAATCATTTGAAAATATATATAAAAACTGTTTTGTGCCAAATAGGAGCAATCCTATTTTTTACCCTCTTCTGAGTGCTATAAAGAACATCGACTAATTCAGATTTTGGTCCCTAATTCCGTGGTTAGGATGGGAGGATATCGGTTGCCCCTCAACAATCTCACATTAGTTTCCAATCAACTAGACCAAATTGGGGATTTTAATCTGTCACCTTAAAATCTCCAATTCTGCATCCAACAAAGTATATTTCCCTATTTATTTGCACCAAATTTCATGGATGACATACTCTCCCATGAAATCAAATGTTATTATCCCTATGTTGTAGAAATCATATCTCATTTAAGAACATATGTCTCTCAACAAAGTTTTAACGTTTCAATTGGCCAGATTGAAAAGTAAATGAAGTTTGGAGTTCAATTCATCACAAATTATTGACATTTAAAACTGTATAAAACAAAATTTATTCTTCACAAAACCATATCTAAAAGTAGGGAGAAGGATCAAGAAGACTACTCAGAATTCATGAGAAGGATACAACAAAATATGGATTTCATATATAAAAACATGTTTACAAAATAAAAGAAATAAAAATACAACTTATCTCACAATCTTTCCCAAGCAAATCCCTAGAAGTTCTCTATAAGTCTTTCTCTCTTTGCAATTACTCCCAATTCTCTCTTTGAAGTGTAATGAAGAAGAAATCTCTCACATTCCCTCTCCTCTTACAACTCTAAAAGAAAATCCCTCTTCTCTCTCTATCTCTAACTCACACCAACTTTCTCTCTCCCTTACGCCACACACTTGACAAATGAGAAGTCATCTTCTTTTATTTTGGGCTGCCTCCTTTGGAAAAGAATTCCAAATTCCTTCCAAAATTCCCTTCAAAAGTCAACTCTTTTAAATTCAAAAGATGTGTCATTTGATCCAAGAGACATGTCCCTCATAAACGAACCTTCCAAAGTATCTAGATGCATTGAATTACTCCAAGTGGTGTATAGAACATGTGTCCTTTTGAAGTTCGCACAAAAATTTATCTCGAATCGCCTTAATTTGAATAGTTCCTGACGCATAATTCTTCAATCTAGCGCTACAAGCGCCAGTTCTCTGTCAAACGGCGCATCATGCGCCAGAATCCCAAAATTCGTTGTTTTGGCTCCAAATTTCATTCTTTTTGTCATATTTGCTCAAAAAGCCTAAAAATGATATGCTTACAACAAAAACATGAAAATACACTCCTTTAAATTACAATATTACCAAAAATAAGCATAAAATAAGTACTTAAAACAGTATAATATTTTGGTGTATCAAAGCTTGAGGAGATGCATAATTAAAAATTGGCTTCACTCAAACAAATTTAAAGGAAAGAAATTTTTTTTTACAATTCTGAGCTATTTTCAGTGAGTACCACACTGACCTTACAATGAGGGGAACCACAATCTAAGGAGAGTGAAAATAGATAGGGAGATTAGTCTTAATGAACTTAGAATTGCTATTTTTAGGGTGACAAGCTAGATCCTTTATCAATTTAGTCTAAAGTTGGAACTAAAGGTCCCTGGTAGGTCCTATAGAGAGAGCCCAGTGGGTAATCTTGAAGTGGTAGGCTAGAATCTACCCAGCACTACCACATAAGCTGGAATTTATTTCAGATTAATCAATATTCTTTATGCACTCAGAAGAAGGTAAATAAGTAGGCATGCTTCTATTTATCACAACACAACATTTAAACCTTTAAAATTTTTGATTCCAACACCAATTATGAATTAATTATAAGGAAAAAGACTTTTTACATAATTCAAACTTTTCTACATTTAATTAGTTCATAATTTCTACATTTTAATTGTACTTGGAATTAAATCTTGCATACATTTAGTTTTAATCAATAAGAAATACTTCGACATTATCCTCCTATAAGTTGTGTTTGCAGTTTTAATAGAAGTCTTTCTAAGTCATTATAGAAGTTACAACTTTCTCTATGGGATTGATACTGAGGTTTTTAAAGAAAACTTTATATTACTTGAAACGATATGTATATGTGCGTATTACCCCTAGTGTGTAACTATTTTCTAAATTTCATAACATTTTGATTTTGCACACTAGCCGCTCAATATAAATTAGGTGAAGTTCTTGGTCAACTTTTTGGAACTTAAATATCTGCGTAATTGCGGGTGGGGTCAGTAGGTTGATGCCTTCGCTTGGCTTATTGGTAGTAGTTAACTTAGATACTTATCTTTCTTGCTTTAGTTTTATTGATTCAGATTCTTGGATGGCTGGTAATGGCGAGGAATTAGATTCTTTCCCCTGGTCGTCTCTACCAAGAGGTAAGTAGATGCATTCGTTCGGTGGTGTGATTAGCTCAAATACTTATCTGTCTTGCTTTAGTTTGATTGGTTCAGATTATGATTGTTCAGTCGTTCTCCTGACCCAGTTGGTCATTGGCTTTAGCTCGGATGACTACATCAGACCAGATAAGTAGACATCATGATTTTCTGTTGGTGAGACATTCTTTATTGTACTTCCTTCCATCTGGGCAGTTGGAACTCCTCGGGTTCTACATTGGCACATTTTTATGTACGTTTTAATGTTAAATATAGGTTAATTAAATTTTTAATAAGATTGAATGAATATTCAAATAAAATTCTAATATGATTCAAACATTATTTAAATATAATCGAAATGAAGTTAGGACACAACTCAAACATATTTGGCATATAGATCGAATCGATTTTTATCAAGTTTTTTAAAATTTTTATTTGGTCTAAACCTTAGTTCAACTTTATTGAATTTACATTTAGGGCCAAATCTTTCTGTCGGGCCATCGTATGTGTAGATAACGGGCAGAGTGACCGGACAGGAAATACACTTCATTTTAGGGGTGCTTAAAAAAACTAATCCGCGTTAAAAGTCAGATATTTTAATCACCAGTATATATTTTGAATTTCCGTGCTGTAAGGTGCATTTTTAAAAAAAAATGTGTTTTTTTCAATAAGGTAGTTGACCTTCGGACTCGGGAGGCATTTGGTAGGTGGCGGAAAGAAAGGAGGTGTTTGGTTGGTGGCGACCCAGAACGAAAAGAGGAAGGGTTAGGTGGGTGTTTATATTGCTATTCGATTTCACTAGCCTCGAGCGAATACGAGGGAGAAAGCAGGGATATCGAGATGGCCCATACGACAATGGCGAAGGGCATTTCCTCTTACCCCTGGCTTTCACCTTCGCCGCGTTTCTCTCCGTCGCATCGACGGGCACTCCTTTCCTCTTCAATCAGGCTAGGCTGCGTGACCGACTGGAATGGCTTCTCCGCTTTTAGAACAGTAGACAGCCGGAGGCCATATGGCCTTGTTAAAGCCTCGCCGATGAGATCACTTGGGATTTCGGCCTCTGTTGCGACGGCAACAGAGAAGCCTCCGACGGTGCCAGAGATCGTGCTACAGCCTATCAGGGAGATTTCCGGTATTGTTAAGCTTCCTGGATCAAAGTCGCTGTCCAATCGGATCCTCCTCCTTGCAGCGCTATCGGAGGTGAGATTCCGTTCATTTTCTTCGTCTTATTTTAGTGGTGACTAGTAAAATTTAGCTTGGATGAAGTCTGCTAAAGCGTGCAAATTTAAGTATGATCAAATTTTTGTCTTTACTAGATATCAAGACAACTGATATTGCTTTTTGGGACAATTCTTCTCTTGTTTTGATGTAATTCCATTTTAATGTAAATCGAAACGTAGTTCTGGGAGTTTGATATCAATATGTAGAGCAGGCCTTTGAAAGCAAAACCTACCGTTGCTTGAGGCTGAAAGATCTATATCTTTCAGGTCTGCATAGAACTCTTTTAATGTGTTTGCCTAACGATTTCACTGAACTTGGATTGTTTTGCTCTTAATAAGTTGAATCTCATCAGCTATAAAAATCATATTTTCACATCACAATGCTTGGAACATTTCCTACAATGTTATATTAAACATTTGAAGTTTCTAATGCATCTTCACTATGTAAACCTTTCTATAAAAATAACTTTTTTATTGAAGATTTAATTTCTTGTCTTTCCCATATATTCTACTTGTCATCTTATAATCGCCATGTAATTTTTCACTCTGCTCATTTTTGTATTGAATATTTATTCTTTATCTTGAACAGGGAACTACTGTTGTAGACAACTTATTGGACAGTGACGATGTTCAATATATGCTTGCAGCTCTCAAAACCCTTGGTCTTTCTGTAGAGGATGATCCTTTGGCCAAAAGTGCAACTGTTGTTGGATCCGGAGGCCTATTTCCTATTGGAAAAGATTCCAAAGAAGAGGTTCAGCTTTTCCTGGGCAATGCAGGAACTGCAATGCGCCCTTTGACAGCAGCTGTAACAGCAGCTGGAGGAAATGCAAGGTTCGTATAAGCTTACCTTGGAAATAATTTCTAACTCTGCAGATTGAATTAAATTATATATGCATTTCTTAAGTTGTATGGTCTGCTAGATTGATTGGAAATGTGTTTCAGCTATGTGTTAGATGGTGTTCCACGAATGAGGGAGAGACCTATAGGGGATTTGGTTGATGGGTTGAAGCAACTGGGCGCAGATGTTGATTGTTTCTTGGGCACCAAGTGCCCGCCGGTTCGTGTTAATGCTGGGGGAGGCCTTCCAGGGGGCAAGGTAATGCGTAGTTCTTCATCTGGCTATTAATGAAATTTAGCAGCATACTAATAAAACTTTTCATTTTTGCTTTTCTGATATAATTTTTATGTAAATTGCTATTGTTTCTTTTGCGAGTAGAGATTCTTGTTATTAAAGTGAAACAATCACTGTTTTTATATTAGAACTGAAGATAAATCCATAGTATTTTTTTTCTAGATTTTGAAGTAATGCACATCACATATCTTAAAAGCCCTTTTAATTGTCATACGAGGCATGTGGATTCATAAATGGGCCCGGATAATTATCCAAAAATCATGATATTGTCACCTCACTCCAGAATTAATTGTATAAGTTGTTGACCACAAGTTCATATTCAATCGCAAGCTCCATTTATGTTTTAAAATGGTTGTTATGTTTATATGCTTATGTAATCTAAATGATCTGATTTTTAGTGAGTTTACCTCTGATATGAATTATTCTTGCACTGCAGCAATAAATATTTATATAGTCTAAATGGCGTGATCTGAATTCTTTATACAATAATTCTACATTGTTAAAACTAATTGTTTTTCACATAATGCTGCATCCATTTCCTTGAACCATGTTATGACATATTCTTGCAATTCTAGATGCGAGTCAAGTCAACCAAATCATATTACGCGATACCTCTTTATATCATTATTTAAGTGATATTTGTTTGCTGTCGCATTTGCTGTTCAAAGTTAAGTCTTAATTCGTATGCCTGTTTGTTATGTGCCTTGAGTGTTTTCTTTCTGATATATTGCTGACTGAAGTACTTTCTTGAAGAGATACTTAATTTCAGGAAATTGTGCGTTTAAATCCATATCACAAACAAAAGATTTTTTTGTCTCTCAATTTAGTTAAAATTCAGTATTGCTAACGTGAATACTATTCTAACCAAATAAATATCTGTAGCATATTTCTATCTTAATTTAATAAATAGTGCAGCAATATTCTATTGCATCTGCTTTTAGAGCAACTGCTACGTGCAGAAAGTCTCTGTGGGACTTTTTTCTGATAATAGCTGGGTATAGCCTTATGATCCTTTCACAATTTCTCAATGTTATTATAGTTAATTTCTGTGTTTCACTAAACGAAATATAGATTACCTCTAGTCATTCCTTTCAGATTTTGTGATTTTTTTTTTTCATGATAGTCATGATGGAATACTTGTTTCTTTAGCCATTGGGACTCTGTTGTATTTGGCGAGCAATATGGAAGTATGAAACAGTGAGGTTAAGAGTGCAACACTCCTAACCTTTTTGGTCTGAAAAAATAAGCATGATCTATGATGATTCCTGTTTCTTCACTATAACACCAAACAGAGTGGCTCTCAATCTTTATTTCCTGCATTTACTTTTCAGGTTAAGCTGTCTGGATCTATTAGCAGCCAATATTTAACAGCATTGCTCATGGCATCTCCCCTTGCCATTGGAGAGGTGGAAATTGAGATTATTGATAAGCTAATCTCTATCCCATATGTTGAAATGACTCTGAAATTGATGGAGCGCTTTGGCGTCACCGTAGAGCATTCTAGTTCCTGGGATAGATTCTTCATCAAAGGTGGTCAGACATACAGGTGAGTTGTTAAAATAACTAAGGAGGATTTACATACATACCTCTTAATTTTTATGCATTTACATACCTAACATCTAAACTTCAATTCTTCCATACAGAGACCACCCTACCTATGCATGAAAGGTGCATCACCTTTTAAATGTTAAAATGGTTGTATTTCTTATGTGATGTGAACGAGTTGGGTGGTCTTAATATAAGAAAACAAAGTTTAGGCATTAGATATGTAAATACATAGGAATTTAGTGGTATGTATGTAAATGCTCCAATAATCCCAATGGTATAGAATAAACCATAAACTAATCCCTATAAAATCTTTTAATAGATCGCCTGGAAATGCTTTTGTTGAGGGGGATGCATCGAGTGCTAGTTATTTCTTGGCCGGTGCAGCAGTCACAGGTGGAACTGTGACTGTGGAAGGCTGTGGCACAAGCAGCTTGCAGGTATTACATTATTATTTTTAACATTTGAAACTTGAAGCTTCACCAGATCAGAAGATCAAAATTTAAAATTTTGGGATTTTTCTTCATGGATTCAGGGCGATGTTAAGTTTGCTGAGGTGCTTGAGAAAATGGGGGCGAAGGTTTCTTGGACCGAAAATAGTGTCACTGTTACCGGTCCTCCTAGAGATCCTTTCAAAAGGAGAAACTTGCGAGCCGTTGATGTGAACATGAACAAAATGCCTGATGTTGCCATGACCCTGGCTGTGGTAGCTCTGTTTGCTGATGGCCCAACGGCCATAAGGGATGGTAGGGTTTCTGGATTATTGTAGTTTTATATAAAAAATTAGGGAAATGGTTTTACATCTACCACACAATTCTTATATATTTATATATCTAACACCTAAACATATAAATATCAAACTTTGGGTGTTAATATATGTAAATAATACATAAGAATTGTGTAATATGTATCACTAGATTACATCATCGGCTACTCATAATATCAATATTCTTGTAGTTGCGTCCTGGAGAGTGAAGGAAACTGAAAGGATGATAGCCATTTGCACAGAGCTGAGAAAGGTGAGAAACCTGGTTTTTCACAACTCGAAGTTTCCTATGGTTTCCCTCTGTGATTTCTTATCAGTGCTTTTATTTTCTTTCAGCTGGGAGCTACAGTAGAGGAAGGTCCAGACTACTGCATCATCTCTCCGCCCGAGAAATTGAATGTGGCTGCCATTGACACGTATGATGATCACAGGATGGCCATGGCTTTCTCCATTGCTGCCTGCACTGATGTTCCTGTGACCATCAAGGATCCAGGCTGCACTCGAAAGACCTTCCCAGATTATTTTGATGTTTTGAAGAGGTTTACGAAGAATTAATCACAGGATAACATTGTTGGATTAGTGTTTGCTGTCTAAGGAAAATAGCCGTTGTAAGTTCATGTAGACATCCAGATTCCAAGGATGTCTTTCTGTAAGAGCGATCTTTATATTTATTTTATAACCATTATTATTATTTTGTGGAGTCCTCGCATTGCATTGTTCTTTAAAGAGGAAGTTGCCTGGAAAAGAATACTTTACTGCAGAGAGGTGGAAAGAAAAAGGATCACACATGTAGAAATGCTGAGTTATTATTATTTTTTATTTTTATTAGCTTTCAGATAACTTTTGTTTATGTTTTGCACGATTCAAGTAAAGCTAGTTTTGTGTCTGGTTAAATTTTGCAATATTTTTTTTTTTCAAGAAAAATTTAATCTGAATATTCTGATTGAATTTAATATTAGAATTTTTAATGCTTATAATTTATTTGTGATGAGTATGTGATGTGACAGTCCAAGATACAACAACAAATACACGGAAAAACTAAGAAAGCTTCCACAACGGTTCAAAGATTTTCAGAGCTGATGACATAATTCAGCGACAGTAAAAGGAGCTCTTTTTCCAGGAGTCCGAAGGTACGGCCAATAATTAGCTTAAGCCACATAATTAATATTTAGTTTAATAAATTTATAATTTTTTTAAAATTGGGCTCACTATAATACACTTTTTGCGTGATGATGATTTTGATCGAGCGACCTTACGCAGCTCTGCACACGGTCGCCGTTGGGAAAAATTTTTCAAATAAGAGAGGGCAACCAGAAAGATTGGTTTAGAATGTTTTTTTACAGCTGTCTTAAATAAATATTGTTAAGACATGTATTTTGTTCGGTAGGAGTCATAGCTGGAATAACTGTAATTACTTTCGGGTAGTAACTGTTTTAAGTGGGTTGTGATTTTTTTAATCTTTCTAAACAACCATAAATAAAAAATCAAAGTCAGCAAGGCAACTCAAAGAAAAACATTCCTTGTTCTATTTCTTTTTTTTTTTTTTCTTTACTTCTTCAATTTTTGGAGATCGGAACTGGTCAAATTATTTTATTTTAATAAATCCTATAGGTAATTTTATTCCACACGAAAAAAAATACAAAAATAGGCAAGAAGCCCCTACTACACCCCATCATAAAACTCACGCAAAATAAAATAAAAAATAAAAAAACCTAAGGGACTTCTCCCCAAAAAAGAAAATATAACTCACCCCACCTATGAACCCAACGACAAAAACAAACAATGAAACAGACTAATCAGAGTAAATAATGCAGAATAACTTGCATTAAGGTCCAAGGAACTTTGGAAATAATAACCTTGCGGATATGAGCTCCAAGTTTTGTGGTCAAGTTAGCCACATGATTGTCTTCTCTCTTAGTGTGCTTCCAGCAAATGAACAGATTCTTAGTCAAATCTTCAATTCTTTTCATCTGCAAATTAATGCTCCAATGATGATCTATCTTGTACCTGCAATACTTCCAAAGAATTAAAGAATCCATTTCTAAAATAATGTATTTCCAACCAAATTTCTTGGCAATCATCAAACCAAAAATCGCAACATCAACTTCAGGAATCAAATGGGAGATGGGAACAACAACAGTCGCAAACCAGCAAAGAACAGATCCTAAAAAGTCCTGACAAACACCTCCAATACCAGCAGTATTAGATTTTTAGCTTCCATCAACATTTATTTTAATGAAAGGAGCAAAAGGTTTACACCATGTAACCCAAATACAGCCCGCATCCTTAATATTAATAGGAATATTCAGCTTTGAAAAAATATCATTCAATTTACTGTAATTTTTACCTTTAAAACCATTCAGAGTAAGGCTTTTAATAAGATAATTAAGAATCAGCTCAAAAGTATTATTAACATTAGGCACCTCATCATTATGCTTAGCATTATTTCTGGCTAACCAAATAACCAAAATAATGCAGTAGGAATATTAAAGAAAAATGCATGGCTTTTCCAATTCTCATAAATATTATCAATATCAATATAAGTATCAATTTTTTTATTGCAATTAAAAAGATTAATAATCATATTCCAGATGTCATTGGCAAACCTGCAGTTAACAAACAAATGCATAATAGATTCCTTATAATTACTGCAAAGCAGAGAACATGAAGGCATTTTGAGCCCTTCATCTTCAGAATATCATCAATAGGAAGGATCTTGTGAAATAATAGCCAAATGAAAAAGGATTGGGAATGCTTCACCCAAGTATTTCAAATCCCTGAAAAGTGAAATGAATTAGCAAAAGTTTTAGCAATAGTATCTCCCAATTTACCTTTAACTTTAGGGATATCCTTCCTTATCCTGTTAATTGGGATGTTGGCAATGAAAGCTACAGTAGTTTGATGAAGCAACAGAATTAATTTCTACTCAAGCCATTGATTCTCATGCCACATATCCTGCACTCTAAAGCAAAATCAAAACTTCATTAGATGATTAATCTCAGAGCTTGACATTGGTACTATAGAACCTAACTTGAAACACATAAATTTTCTAAAATGAAGATTTTAATTTTGAATAGCTAAGAGACTAATTTTTATTTATGTCGACTAAATTTGGTTTTTTTGGGTTGATTTGTTGTAAGCAAATCTAGTCTTTAGGTCACAAATTGTTGTGTGGCAGTGGTGGACCGGTGGGTGGTCTATTATTTAGCTTGATTGGTTATAGTACATCAAAAAAATAAAAGCTCATATGTAATGTGAGTCTTCTAGCCCAATTGAATTGGGTCTTTTTGTCATGCACATGAAACCCACTCTTTTTTACTCGGTTGTACTCATAGAACACATCCATCAAAGTGACGACCGCAAGAGCTCTCTCGAGAAGACTTGCAAGCTCCTCCATCGAGTTTACCTGAACTCGTCCGAGCTCATCAAGCTCCTTTGTCGAGCTCGCCTATACTCACCAAGTTTATTCGCTGAACTTGCCTACACTTTCCAAGCTTCGCCACTGAGCTCATTTATCAATCATTCTAGGTCACCTGCATGGCAGAAGGAATGAGACTCTAACCCATCACTATCCATGCCCATTTATGGATCGCCTGGCACCCGCGGTGATGTATGTTTAATAATAGATCTCGGATAGGTCTCATACAGTACAACCTATAAACTATCATGCCTTTATTTCTTGCTTTTTTAATAGTCTTATGAAGTTAAGGACACTCAAGGGGGTATATAAATAGAAAGGGGGAGCGAAAGTAGGCTCTATATTTGTTAAACTTCTCTACTCATCTCACAAGTTCTCTCACGAATTATACATCTTATGCAACTTTCCATGTCCATATTATCACATATTTTTACATATAACATATTTACATAATCATCTACACAATTGGAAGACAGTGAATGGCCAAAACGTGCATCATGTTCACTTTAAAAGCATTACACACCATACAAAGATGACTTTGCTAAATGAATAAATATTTCTTATTCAAGAGAAGACAATTATAATCTGTAACCAATTCAGTCCTCTTCATATTTTTATTTTTTTTTTTCACCGAATTGAATTCAAGTCAATTTTTCAAACACAACATAATCATATGAATCTAGATCTATCTTAGGTGACTCCATTATATACTTGATTTCTCCTCAGAAAAACTAACTACTTGTATCATTTTCAGATTTATCTTTTCTTATCTTAGAAAATAAATTATGGGGAAATAAAAATAAGGTGGTGCAGTCGCAACATGGGAGATTAAAATTACTTTACTTTACTGTGACTTATGCATTATTCAAATAGAATTGGGTAATAGGCCCATATCTCACTTTAATAAGGAAGGTTGGGAAAATCTGGTAAAGAATTTCAATGAGCGCACTAGTCGAACATATGGCCATGCACAGTTAAAAAATAAATGGGATCATATTAAGAAAGAGTGGAAGTTGTGGAAAGAATTTCTACGGGGTGAGAGTGGAATTAGATGGAATCCAATGAAAAAATAGTGGAAGCTTCAAATGAATGGTGGAATGAGAAAATAAAAGCATATTTTGTATTTACTTATCAAATGATTTTCACTATTATGTGCAAATATCAAACTTTTGTTTGCACTTATTGTAGGTTAATCCTGCATTGAAAAAATTTCATTATAACGGAATAATGCCCTAGTTAGAAGAGAAATTAGACATAATTTTTGGACGTATAGTAACAACTGGGGAAAACGTTTGCCTGCCAAGCACGGGTATGCTACCTCCTGAACTATGAGAGGAGACAAGAGACTTATCTGCTATGGAGAAAATTCACGAGGATGATCCTAATATTGCGAATGCTCAAGGACTTCAAAGCTCTCGTTCAATTGATCCATAATCATCAAATAAAAGAAAATTAAAAAAACAGAAATCGATTGGTATAAATTTTGTTGAAACTCATATTGAGGCATTAGTTCATACATCCACATCTATTAGTGAAGCAATATGTATATCGAGTGCTTTAAGAAACTTTGTTATTCTATGTGATACTAGATGAATTAGCTAACCTATCAGTTATAACCAACGATATTGAGTTTTACGACTTTGCTCTAGAGCTCGTGAAAGATAAAGATGATGGAGAGATTTTCATGCACATGGACAAGGATAAAAAATAGGATGGCTCAGAAGAAAATAATTTAAGAATTTATCTTAATTCAGTAGTACAATAATTTATCTTCTCTTTACAAACTATATAGTTTGATTTCAACTGCATTCATTACTTACATGAATTAGATTTCTAAAAATAAACTAGTTTTATTTTTCTTCCAAATTTTTGAAGTTTCATTGACTATGACATTTTTGTTCATCTTTGGATTTATGGAGAATATCCATATTTGTTGTACTAATATGATCAACTATATTTGACAAATCTTGTAAAGTATGATTTCATGTAATCCATATTTATATTCGAACTTTATTATTTCTTTGTTCTATTGTGATAGTCGTAACTTTCCTTTTTTTCTTCTACTAATTAGGTGTAATTTATTTTTTTCTTGTAGATGGTTATAACAATTGAAGAGTTGTCAGACAATGAAAGTGATGAATATGATGAGGAATGTATCTCAAATAATGAGGTAATAGGAAAAGCTCATATGGCAATTTTAAATAACACAATAGCATGGATGCTCTTTTATTATAATGCACAACACATGAATAAGAGTCCATGTATGACTTTAACTCAAACTGGGGATAAATGGATACATGAGCTTTTACACGGACATCCTGTAAGATTTGAAAATATGTTCCGAATGTTACTAATAATATTTATAGACTTACTTCACTTGCTTGAGTCATCTTATGGTTTATCTGGATCACTAAGAACTACGT